GGCTGCCCCCATCCTCTTTGCCTCTGCTGCTCTTGCCCTCGGTAGCTCTCTGGCCCTGAAGCTGCCCGAGACCCGGGGGCAGGTGCTGCAGTGAGGGAGTCTCTGGGACTTTGGGGGTGGCAGGCACACTGTGAGACCAACAACTTCTTCCCTTGCCCTGCCCTGCCATCCTGGCCCCAAGCCCTCACTCCTCATGCCTGTGTTTGGTGTCTTAGCCTTGTGTGCGTGTGCGTGTGCATGTGTGTGACCCCGTGGGCAAGGACTACAGGGAAGGCTCCTTCGTCCCAGTTTCGGGATGCCACTCTACTCCCCACCTCCTGCCACCCTTGACTTTGCACAAGAGAAGGCTTGGCCCCACCCTTCTCCCCCAGTGTTAGTGAGGGGTGCCCCTGCTTTTCTTAGCTCCTGGGGCTCCAGAACGGGCTTCCTGCCTTCCCCCTCATTTCCTCTGCCTAGGCCCTGGTGAAATCATGGGCATGTGGTTATGTTGGGGGCTGCAGCTTAGTGTAGACCATGGACCAAAAGAACTTTTAACTTAGAGTTGGGCCTCGAGTGCTCTCTCATGCTTCCTGTTGGATGCTGGGGGAGTAGCAATAAACCTCAGACCCCTACTCTCCAGTTCCCCCTCAATTTAGGCTATAAGTAAGAAGCCTGAATTTTATGAAATTAGCTTTCTGATTCTTATTTATTTACATATTAAGTTCTGAAGCAGCTCAGCAGGACTGTGTGTATGTGACTGAGTGTGTACACTTATGTATGTGTGTGTATGTGCCATGGGGCGGGGTGTCACTATATGTCCTAAAATACAAGCCAAGGGTAATTTCAGCAGACACACACACAACCCTGCCTTCCATAGTACCTCCCCTAATCTTGTTTTTGTGCCAGGCCTGGAAGGGAGGAGCCCTAGCCATGCTGGGATAAGAGTACCACAGTCTAGGGAGATCTGAGGGCACCTTCCTTCCTCTCAAGAAGCACAGGCCTCCTCTGGAGTGAGACTCCACCCACTATAGCACAGACTGTAACAGCACAGCTGCCCTCCCACCTCCAACCTGTCCCCTCAGAGGCAGGGGGGCAGGGGGTCAGGGGAGGGAAAGAAACCAGGCATATGGTCAAACCAGCAGATCAAAAAGCACAAAGAGCTGGGGCAGGGGCAGGAAGCAGGGGCCCACACATCAAGTCTCTAAAGTGGAAAGTAAGCCAGGGACCCCTAATGCAGGGACCAGACCCTCAGTTTCCCCATCTCACCCTCTCCACAAATAGTCCCTGTAGGTTAAGCTGCCCCTGCCCCACCCTACTCCATGTGGCTGCTTTCTTTGGTGCCCCCCCCCACTGTAGTTGTGATGTGTTGTAGTTTTTAGCTGTTTGTAAAATGTTAAGTTAAAAGGGAAAAAGTGAAAACAACAAAAAAAGAAAATTCAAATTCACCCTCCTCATGCTGCATCTGGTGCCCCCCCTATGGTTACTCTCCCCATTTTGTAACACTGAACGAGATGGTGACTGTTTAACTCTTTGGTGTCTGTGCTCAAAGGACTGCCTTCTCCTCCAGTGCCCAGTGTGCGAGTGTGCGCCCTTTTCACCCTTCCCTTGCTGGATGCAGCCCTCTCTCCTGCACCCCCTGGAGAGATCCATCCATTCCCTTATTCTCCTGGGGAACCCTAAACCCAACTCTGTTGATGTGAAAAATGAGATGA